CCAGGACCCTGGGATCATGACCAGAGCGGAAGGCATCCGCTTAACCAACTGAGCCACCCACGCGCCCCCAGAAATCATTTTATAAGAATCACCATCTCAGAATCTGCTTCTAGGGAACCTGACCCAAGACAGTCTGGATTGAAAACAGCCCCTTACTTGCTAATCTATTTTCACAAAATGTTACTTTTTGTGCATCAGTTTCTGTCTTCCAACCTTGAATCAGATGTCATTTGACTAACATCTCCCTCCCCATCACACACACACACACACACACACGCGCGCGCGCGCACACGCACACACGCGCGCGCGCACACACACACACACCCCCTCTGGGTTACTTTTTTCTTGGTGAAGTCATCCAAAAAAAAAAAATCTTAATCTTTTCTTTCATCCACTTGGATATTAAGGTAAGACATTTACAGACTCTGGTTTCCCTGGGCCTCTTTCAAGATGTCTCCTTGTGTTCTGAGTCTTTCCTTAGATGCCTTGTCCCTCCTAGCACAGGACAGGAGGTGATTCGAGGGAAAGAGAGCTTAATCCTGGCTCTCTACGCCACTCTCTTTGCCCACCTCATTGATACCGTAGCTATAATTCTCAAAAGAAGGGTCCTGCGATCCCAGGAAGTCTTTAAATTAGTCACGACCGGTCCAATCAGACTCTAAGCAAACCCAGCCTTCACTCAACTGCCGCCTACCGTATCTGTGTTCACACGTCTTTGCTTCTGGTCTAAATCGTTAATAACATAAATCCAAACTTCATGTCTTAATCAAGACCCAAAGTCGCAGAATGCTGGTAAGATCTTTTGGAATCAGGAAGGTTGTTTACAAGAACTCTGAAAATGTTTGAGAACCCCAAAGTTTTGCTCTTTTTACTAACTAACCATTCTGTGTAGAGCCGGAGAGATGGCAGGGCAGGCCCCTCCCACCGGGACGCCATGGCGGCCGCTCCTGCTGCGGGCGTGGCCGCATCCCCAGAGCCAGGAATCCTTTTTCCGTTCGCTATGTCCTAATTTGCCAGTAAGCCCTTTGCTCCTCGTTCTGGTCCCTTACTACCTGAAGGCACATCTCCAGCAGCAAATAAACCAGGGCAGGAAAAACAGGTTCAAGACATTTCCGTAATTCTATTTGTTGATCACTTTAAGAGTCAAAATTATGTTTTGAAAATTTTTTAAACCATTACCTGTAGATTCGATTCGATCTTATAGTCAATGCTGTCCAACAAACATTTAAAATGCAAGCCACTTTGTAATCTTAAAATGTCCAGTAGCCTCATTAAAATAAGTAAAGAGAGGCACCTGGGTGGCTCAGACGGTTAAGCTCCGACTCTTGATTTCAGTTCAGGTCATGATCTCAGCGTCGTGAGATCGAGCCCTGCACGGCTCCGTGCTGGGTGTGGAACTTTCTTAAAATTCTCTCTCATGACTCTCCCTCTGCCCCTCCCTCCCTACCCCACCCCACCCCCGCCCCTGCACATGCGCACTTTCTCTCTCTAAAAAACAAGAAGAAAAGAGGGGAAATTAATTTCAGTGATTTTGTTTAACCCAGTGTATTCGAAGTATTACCATTCCAACGTGGAATCAACATTAAAAACAGGGATGTTTTACATTCTTATTTTGCATTAAATCAAAATCTAGTGTCGGTTTTACACTGAACACCACATCTCAATCGGACCGGCCACTTGCTGGGGGCTCTGTGGCTACCCGTGGCCAGGGGCTGCTGTACCCCCCAGGACGGCTGCAGCTTTCCCCCTCCTAGATGCCTCCCCTTCATGGGGTAAACCGTGAGGGTCTTTAGGAAAGCACTAGGTGGAAGGAATTATGATTCACCAACTTCAGTAATTTCCAGCCCCTCTATGAGTCACTAGAAATGTCACCTTTGAGGAGCCAGAGATGCTGGTCATCTCCTTCTTGCCCACTCTTGTGGGTATCTTGGCGCCAATGAACACACACACACACACACTCAAGACTCCCATGCAACCTGCCCACCCGCAGGCTGCAGTGTGCAGTCTGTGCCAGGCCTGAGTGCCCCCTCACCTCACCTTCTTGCAGGGCAAGCGGGCTTCCAGAAACTGGAATGGGGCAGGCTGGTGAGGCCTCAGCCTCGGGGAGAAACCTGAGTGAGGAAGGCACTGGGAGGCAAAGGGGACGAGAAGGGGACGGACAAAATGGAAGACCATGAACTCCAGCACCAGCCGGTCTGGTTCCCGGCTCCACCACCTATGGTTATCTGACCTCCCTGAGCCTCGTCTCCTCATCCGTTACGTGGGGCTCGCTGACTCCTTTGGGCTGAGATAGCAGCCTAAGTGCTAAGGGCCTGGCATGGAGGAAAGTGACCACTCGTGGCTTGCTGCCATCTGAAGAAGCTGTGTCACCCTCTGCAGGGACTCCCAGCCTCTGCCAGGCCACACCCCTTGCTTTCTAACTCTTCTTGTCCCTAAGAGGACACTGCCAACACCCCGCCCCCACCCCTGAGCCTTTCACCGGGTCACCTCAGTTCCAGCAAAGTCAGTGGCTTCCTGCGTCTCTCTCTGTTTGAGAGATTCCCCAGGAAACACCAGAGACCTGCAAGGAGCTGCGGGCAGGAGCTGCCTGGGAAATGAGGGTCCCAGGATGGACCCCCATCAAGGAGGGATGGGAGTTACTGGATAAATATCCCAGCTTCCTCACCCCTGGAGCAATTCTGCGGTGCATTCTACATGGTTCTTCAGAGGGTCCCCAGCGGGGTTGAGCCCCTGTTGCCCACAGTGATAACCTGTTCATTAGCTTTCTCTTATTGGCTGTTTTCCCCTCCCCGTCTCCCCTCTGTAGCCCCTCACTGTGTTTCCTGAGATCACCTCCCCAAAAAACAGCTTATACCCAATTCCTTGGGTCAGGGTCTGCAACCTAAACCCACAAGAGCCCCGCCAGCCCACCACTCCCTCAGCATTCTCCTTGCCCCAACCTAAGGTGCCAGCCTAACCACACAGAGATCAAACTTTTACTGATTCACCGGTGCTAGGGACTGAAAAAGAAGCCTAACAGCCAGACCCGGGAGAGTTCACACTACATGATTCCGTCTCTATTACGCTCAAAACCAGGCACAGTAATTAATGCTGTTCCAAGTCACACAGTGGCTCTTGGAGGGAAGAAGATAGTGATACAGGGAGGAGTAGTGACTTCGGGGGGCTAGATGTACGGTAGCCCCCCTCATCTGTGGGTTTGCTTTCAGTGATTTTAGTTACCCATGGTCAATCAACCACAGTCCAGAAGCAGATGATCCTCCTGCTGACCTAGCTTCGGAAGGTCAGTAGTAGCCTAACGCTACGTCATTCAGCTCACTTCATCTCATCACGTAGGCATTTTATCATCTCCCATCATTGCAAGAAGGGTGACTATAGTACGAAAAGGTATTTTGAGAGAGAGAGAGAGACAACGTTCACTTAACTTCTATTACAGTATATCTCTGTAAGTGTTCTGTTTTATTATCAGTTCTTGTTGTTAATCTCTTACTGTTCCTACTATATAAATTAAACTTTATTAGGTATGTATATATATGATATAGAGGGTTTGGTACTACCTGTGGTTTCAGACATCCACTGAGGCCTTGGAATGTATCCCCATGAATAAGGGGGACTGCTGTATTCTGTTTCTTGATCTCGGTGCTAGTTACATGGGTGTGTTCGCTTTGTAAAAATTACTTAAACTCGTCAAACTCTACACTTACGATCTGTGTGCCTTCTGGACGCATGCTACATTTAAATGAAAAATCCACTTGAGAAAAGGTATTTTAAGAAGGAAAAAAGGAACTTCTAAGTATGCCAGCCCACTCTCTCAGGTGGAGGACACTCTTCCCAGGCCGGGGAAACAGCTCCTGGCCAGCACTCTCAGAACACAACAGTGGGATAAGGGCTATACAAGAAATCTGAATACACAGGATCAGAGAAGGGCCCTGTGTGAGGACTGAAGAGCTGGGATCTCCATCCGGATGGAGGAGTGGACACTGTCCTATCCCACCAAGATGCCAGAGGGAACCCCAAACTCTGAAAGGACTTGAGGATCAGGAGACGATCTATCGTAAATTCTATGAGGCTGTAGAGAGAATGGGTCATGAGTAGGATGGGGCTGAATGGTTCAGACCGGATAGGTTTAAATGAGATGAAATGGGATAGGATGGGGAGTTAAAGATGGGACCCAGATTGTAAGGAGCTTACATGAAGTCCATCAAGATGAGGAGTTTGGATTTCACCTCACCCAGAGTTGGCGAATTTTCAGAAGGGAAATGGCATCCTTAGAATTATCCTCAAAAGATCCCTCTTTTGAGGTGTGGAACTGTGGGCCTCAAGGGGAAGTCTAGAGGCCAGATGTGTCTAAATTAAAACGAATGATGCCTTAACCAGTCAGAAGGGCTGGCTCTAAGAGAGGCCAATGGGCACCCCTAGGATCCTCTGTGAATTGAGCTGATAAGGACCCAGATCCATGCTTCATAGGTCAGGAAACTGAGGAAGGACCAACGGGAGGAAGACACTTGCCAGCCTCACATAGGAGCCGAGCATTTCCTTCTCTTCTTGAGCTCTCAGGAGCTCATTCTGAGACTGGCTTACATCCCAACAAAGGAGCAGAAGACACCAACAGTGAGACCACAAGAATCCATTCTAGCAGTCAGCCAGATGATGGCTGAACTATGCCCCCGGGGAGCCTTGTGTCAGACTTCACAACTCTGAGAACACTTCCAGCCAGTGATGTGTCTTGAGGGACCCTAGAACTTGGGCCATTACCACATCGTACAGAGGCGAAAACAGCGTCAGCAAAGGGCCGTGCCTGGCCCAAGGTGACTCAGGGGGCTGGTGGCACAACCAGGAGGTGAGCCCAGATGCACTGGCCTCAGACACCCCAACCTGCCGTCTTTCCAGAAATACACTGCTCCATGCTCCCGATGTGGCTCTCTGGTGGCCAAGGCGCAGGAGCTCCGTGGGCCAGAACCACAAAAGCAACCGCGAGGCCCACGCCCCCTCCCCTTCCTCACCTGTATGCGTGCGGACGTGCCTCTTCAGGTCGAAGGTGTCATTGAAGCCCTTGCCACAGAAGGTGCACAGGTGCCTCTTCACCTGGTTGTGGCACTTGAGGTGGCGGTTGAGCATGCGCTGCAGGCGGAAGGCCTTGCCACACAGCTCACAGCTGTGGGCCGCGGGGTCGCTGCACGTGCCTGTGGTGAACTGGGACAGAGGGGGGGGGTGTGTGAGGGCCCCGGGGCAGGCGGGCACAGCCGGTGGGCTCAGCCCGGGGGGCACACCTCCCTGTGTGTCTCCAGGCTTGGCCAGGCTGGGGCTCCTGAGCCCTACAACTTCCAAGCGGGTTTGGGAAGGAAATGGCTGGAAGCTCCTCCCCGCGTTCATTCCCCCCTCCTTCCTCAGAACAGACTTCTGATTTCTGGGCACAACGGCCCCCAGCTGAACGTCTACAGCAAGTCACGGCGGCGGGACTCGTGGGCCAACGGCATATACCCCTTCTGTCGGGGAAGAGGGTGCCCTCTCTCCTCCTTTGCTCCTTCCTGCTGGCCAGAACTCCAACAGCCACCCTGGACCATCGAGGGGAAGCCAGTGCTGAGGACGGGAGAGCAGAAAGAGAGGAGTCCGGGTCCCGATGAGGTACAGAGTCCCCGAAGACAGACACGGTCAATTCCTTCCTCCCTGTGCCTGCATGCCACTCCATCCATCAGGAGATTGGAAACCCTTTCCTCTCCCCTGGGATCTGGGCAGGGCCTGTGTAAGTTCTAGGTCTTAAGACACTTTGCAGCTGGGGCGCCTGGGTGGCTCAGTCAGTTGAGCGCCTGCCTCTTGGTTTTGGCTCAGGTCATGATCTCAGGGTCGTGAGATCGAGACCCACTCATTGGGGCTCCGTGCTGAGGAAGCATGGAGCCTCCTTGGGATTCTCTCTCTCCCTCTCTCTCTGCCCCTCCCCCCCCAACGTGTGCGCTCTCTAAAAAACAAACAAACAAACAAACAAAAACAAGAGAGAGAGAGACTATGCAGCTTCTACATGTTCCCTTTTGGAAGCCAGCTGCCATGTAAGACATCCAAGACCACCATGCTGCAAGGAAGCCCAGGCAGCCATGGGGAGGGCAAGGCCACTGGGAGAGGCACTGAGGTGCCAGATAAAGCCTCACTGGGCCTCCCAGCCCAGCCCATGGCTGCCATCAGCTAAGTGACTCTGGCCAGTGCCACCCAGGGAACAGCTGCCTTGCCGGGCCATGCCCCAGCTCCTGACCCACCAAAGTATGAACCCCTAAAATGATCATTTTGGGAAGTGACTTGGTCAGGATCCCACAGCTTCATTCTCAGCAAAATAACCAAACCCCAGGCCCTGGGCTTCCAGTCCCATGGTCCCTCAACCACGTTTGCCGCCCCTAAGGCAGAAGCTTGAATCTATAATTAAGTGGTGAAAAATACCAGAGCTGATATATTCATCAAAGTTTTCCTAGTTACCAAATCAAATCCTTTAGAAGCTTGAGCCAATTGCTCTGCCATTTGTAAAAGGGCCTACTAACCTGATTTTCATACAAACATCATTAACAGGAAGAGTTGGTCCTTGCCTGGATCAACACCTCCATGGCCTCCAACACCCTTCTGCTTCCCTCCGCCCTCCGTATTGCCCTCCACTAAGTCCCAGCTCAACCGCTCCCTCCCTGATGCAGCTTCTCCAATTACTGCAGCTTCTGCCCAAACCGTTTTCTGTACCCCTAAGACCAGGGCCCTCAAACCCCAGTGTGTGCACAAATGCCCTGGGGGTCTTGTTAAAACGCAGGTTCTGATTCAACAGGTGTGGTGGAGTCTAGATGCTGCATTTCTAACCAGCTCCCAGGAGATGCCACTGTGGCATGGATTGTACTGGAGACATGGGGCTAGGGTATGACCCTCACACAGTTCAGTACTTTATTCCACTCATTCCAGAGGGTTCCATTATGCATGGATGTTTCCTCAGTGTTCCCCTTGTTTCCTCAAGTAAACGCCTTTGCAGAGGTCAGCAAGTGTTTGTGCACATTCCTGCCCCCCACCCCCCAAGCTCAGACTCAGGCCCGGGCACCAAGAGTGTTGATGGGCAGTGTGGCTCACAAGCGGCAAAATACAAAGAAACCTGGGGAAGGCACAAGACCCCAGAACACAGTTTTTCGGTCGGCCTCCTCATCTGTTTGGAGCTTAATTTGTCTCAGCCGACATATGGAGTGCCGGGTCTGCAACAGGCCCTGTACTCAGAGCTGGAGGCAGCACAGTCACCAGGATGGCTTGTCCCCACGAAGTTGCCAGTCTAGTGGGGAAGCAGACCCATCAAAAGGCCACTGGTATCTGGGAAGCTCCGGGAGCGATGGACACCTCGGACAGGCACCTACCCCAGGTGTAGAGTATGAGGGAAGGTGCTTCCAAGGAAGTGGGCTCACTCCTCAGCCAGGTAGAGATGAGGAGGTAGAGAAGGGCAATGAATATTCCAGAAGAGGGCAATGGGCAACAGGGAGACTGCATGTGGTTCCACGTGGCTAGCCTGAACCCAAGAGAGCAGTTAATGAAAAGAGCTGGGGTAGCAGGGCAGGGCAGCGTCCTCCTTGGGGCTCTATGTTGGGGCCCTAAAGAAACTCAGTTCTATTCAAAAGACAGAGGGGCCACTGGAAGGCACACAGAAGGATGGCCTCAGGGCTTGAGTTGTTGACCCAGTGGGTAGCCACCCTGGGCCTCCAACTGCTCAAACCCCACCTCTGTGTCCTCCAAAGGGATAAAGCCTGGTCCTCGTCCTGAGGGAGACCCAGATGAGCCCAAGACTTTCTTATTTCTGTCACCAAGATGGGGCAGGTCTTTTCTTCTTGCCTGGAAGTCCCCATTCTGGGCATTGCAGCCCTTGAAGGGATGTAAAAAGACTAAATATGGCCTGGGGTGCCTGGGTGGCTTAGGTCATATTCCAGGGTCCTGGGATCAAGTCTCGAGTCGGGCTCCCTACTCAGCAGGGAACCTGCTTCTCCCTCTCCCTCTGCTCCTCCCCACTGCTGGTGCTCTCTCTCTCTCCCTCATGCTCTCTTGTCTCAAATAGATAAATAAAATCTTAAAGAAAAAAAAAAAAGACAAATATGACCCAAGTCTTGGCAAACTGAATACCTGGAGTTTCTCAAAGCCAAGTCTACACAGGAGAAAGGTCACTGAGAGCTGGTGAATGCCTAATAAAACAGAACACAGACAACTGACCCATGTAGTTTGATTAAGAACATGCAAAAAGCTAGAACTCTTCCTGAAGAATGTTCTTAAGGACTTGCCAACTTAGAGTCCAAACCCAAACTCCTGTTTAAGCCTTTTGTTAAATTCCTATTTTTAAAATGCTCTGCATGTAATATGGATACCTTCTATTACAGCCCAGGATGAAAATCTCAGATCACTGGCATTATTTTATTTGAAAAGAATAAAATCTTGAAGGGTAGAGAGAAAGGAGGTTAGTGACAATTTAAGGGAGTGCAGGGCCAATGGATCATCTGACCAAGATACAGAAAGCCTTTTAATACAGGGGAGAACATGAGAATGGGGGAGGAGACTGGGGACTAAGCAGTTTTCCTCTGGTTTTCTTGTAACAAAAATAGAAATTCTCCAAGTGTACGTCAACATAGGCAAATTTTCCATTTCTCCATTTTCATATACATCCCCATTCCACAGGATGGCAAACTGAGCCAGCACCAAGGGGCTCATTTAGGGAATCCATGAAGCACTGTTTGCCACCTCTCTCTATCTATGACCAACCCAGCACCCGGACATTAAGGAATTATATTTGAAGGCTTAAAAGGGCCTTGTTGAAAGATGTAAAGTTAATTAAATGGCAAAAGACCATGGCTGATGAAGCCAGCTTCTGCCAGACTATTTCAATCCTCAGAAAGGAAGGACTATTTGTAGGATAAACTCCTAAATGTGAAATTTATCCCAGAGTATATTTCACATGGCAGGTGCCCTGAAATTCTGTCTGTAATGGCAAAAGACCAGGAACTACCTATAAGTCCATCAATAGGGGCTTTAAAAAGATGGTAGAACCATATAATTAAAGAATCTAGAAAAAGGAAACAGTGTCAGCTGTCAGACACGTGATCCAGCCCAGTTAAGCCCCCAGAAGATTCCAGTCAGCTGCCATTTGACTGCGACCACAAGAGAAACCTCAGGCAAGAATGGCCCAGCTAAGCCCAGTTATTCCACAGAACTAGAATATAGTATAATAAATTAGGCTGCTAGGGGCGCCTGGGTGGCTCAGTCAGTTGGGTGTCTGCCTTTGGCTCAGGTCATGATCCCAGGACGTCCGGGGATCGAGCCCCTTGTCGGGCTCCCTGCTCAGCGGGGAGTCTGCTTCTCCCTCTCCCTCTTCCTCTGTCCCTCCCACCCACTCCGTGCCCGCATTGTGTGCTCTCTCTCTCGCTCAAGTAAATAAATAAAGTCTTGGAAAAAAAAATAAATTAATAAATTAGGCTGCTAAATGTGGGGTTATTTGTGAAAGTGCAATAGGGAACTGGAATAGTAAGAGATGTATCACATTCTCTCCAGAGCACCAGACCTGCCACATTTCCTAATGATCTCTTCCAGGATGGGCTGCAGGATACAGACAACACATCTGATTCCTGGAATGACAGCCCATGGGCCAGAGCACCAGCAATCCCTCCCCAGGTCACTGGGCCATCTTTACAATGTTTACAGAGGTTTATACCTAACACCCGACCTCCTAAAAGTTCAAAATAAGGTTAACCAATCATACCTATTACTCCACTTTGCAAGTAGTAGACCCAAACTAGTTACATCTTGGCCATCTTGGTTACAAAAACAGACAAGGAATGCTGAGGATCAAATAAAAACCTATACCTGCCATCACCCACTTGTGAGATGTCATTTAATATCCCTGCAACACCATTTCCCACGTGTTAAGTATGGTAAAATGGCGGGGCACCTGGCTGGCTCAGTCCGTAGAGCATGTGACTTGATCTCTGGGTCCTGAGTTTGAGCCCCACATTGGGTGTAGAGATTAGTTAAAAAAAAAAAAAAATGAGGGGCACCTGGGTGGCTCAGCCGGTTAAGCGTCTGCCTTTGGCTCAGGTCATGATCCCCGGGTCCTGGGCTCGAGTCCCGCATCGGGCTCCCTGCCCAGTGGGGAGCCTGTTTCTTTCTCTCCCTCTGCCTCTTTCTTGCTCTTTCTATCTCAAATAAATAAA